CTGTGTTGGTGATGGGCTGGACGACAGCGGTGTTGGTCACCTCAGTGACGGTGTGGATTGGGTGTGGCTGTGGGACTGGGACCTCGACTGGCTTTGGAACTGGCACGTCAACTGGGAATGGCTGTGGGACTGGGAATGGCTGTGGAACTGGGACTGGGCGTGGGACACGGTAGGGAGCGGGCACCAGGCGCTGGCGGACTACACCAATGTAGACGGCGTCGCTAAGGGGAAGGCGGGAGGTGGGCTCAGAGATAAGGCGGAGGTCACCGGGGAATCGCCTGGGGGCTCCGAGACCCATGGACAAAGGGCCGTAGCTACCGAATGGGCTGCCGAGTCCACTGAGGGGGCTGCCGAATCCGCTGAGTGGGCTGCCGAATCCGCTAAGTGGGCTACCGAATCCGCTAAGTGGGCTACCGAATCCGCTGAGTGGGCTGCCGAGTCCGCTTAGTGGGCTGCCGAATCCGCCGAGTGGGCTGCCGAATCTGCTGAAGGGGCTGCCGAATCCACTGAGTGGGCTGCCGAAGCCGCTGAGTGGGCTACCAAATCCACCGAGTGGGCTACCGAATCCACCGAGTGGGCTGCCGAAACCACCGAGAACACCTCCGACACGGTAGCCAGAGAGACCAGAATAGCCGAGGCCGCTAAGACCACCGAGACCGCTGAGACCACCGCCGTATAGCCCAGAGAAACCAGAAAGGCCACCGCCGAGGACACCACCGCCGAGGACACCACCGCCGAGGAGACCACCGCCGAGGAGACCACCGCCGAGGAGACCACCACCGACGAGACCACCACCGACGAGACCAGATCCTAGACCACCGCCATAGAAGCCAGAAAGACCAGAACCGACGAGACCACCGCCGTAGAGGCCAGATCCGAAACCGCCATAGAAGTTTCCGCCATAGTAAGCCTCAGCGTGGATGCCTGTGGTAAATAGATACGGCGTAGAAACAAATTAATTCTTATAATTATTTGTTCAACAGGGTTAAATAAAGTGATTTTGTTTTTTACCCGATGAGTATATTTAGTGAATGCACTCATGAGATAGAGCAGTGACAGTTACTGCTCGTAAGATAGACTCCGGAAAAAACAGCACTGCCCCTTTTCGACTTTCTGCAGCTGTTCGCAGTAGATGTCACGCTAGTTAGTATCGAGCTTCAGTATTCTTCGAATTGGAAATCAATAAATCAGATGCTATATCGTTTTCCACAAGAAAAACAGATGATTGTGTAGAAGCGATGCATATCGCATAGCCTACTTTAACATGTAACGCAGCTTTTAAATCTCACTGAGCCACCATAACTGCATTTGGTTAAAGAAAGGCGTCTTGGGGAGGCGAAAAAAAAAAAAAACGCAACCACTAGTTGGAATATTTTTGAAAAGCGAGAATAAAGGTTACTTGTTAAACTAAGAGTCACATGCGGAATTAAACTATATCAGGTCCTTCATATTTCTCGCATCATATGCAGGAAACATCAGGTGGTATGAACTGCAAGTTCTAGATAAATGTAGATGCCATAACAGAAAACAGCGCTTACAAAACTTACCGGAATATTAGTGATTGTGATAAGCAGCAAAATACACAAAATTGCTAAATGTTTTTAATCAATTAAACATTCCAATAACGTCACTTCGACTGCACGATTTTGAACTAATCACAGCGACATATGCACTGTTTGCGCAGCGAGCATTGATTTTACCATGCTATTCGGGACTAGAAGAGGAAGCCACAAATACAATTCACGAAATGCTAAACACTCCGCAGTAACGTGCCGGTAGCGCTTGAACTGTACTTGCACTGTGCTTGCTTATTTAGGTGCGAAAGGCGTATAAGTACACCTTCGTTCTTATCATGAGGTCAGCACGAACACTTTACATTTTAAGCTGCCTTACAAATTTCCCGAGTCGAAAAAGTAAAGAACTTAAAAGTGCCACTTGCTTTTTCATTTAACTTTCAAGTTCTAGCTAAGGTTGCTGGAATTTGAAAACGCCGCTTAAAACATTTGGTTTACTGCTTACGTGGCTACAGCCGTGACTGGTGGAGAGCAATATCGAGCGTATTTACTTCGGCCGCAGTACGTAGTTGCATTCTTCGGCGTAATAATTGAGAAAATTGGTACGAATTTATCGAGGGTTAGAGTTACTCACTAACTACTGAATTCCGCTCAACTTAGTACAAGAGTATCTGCCGTACAAAGTGACTTCACAGCTTTCGGAGTAAGTGGAATGTCTTTTGGGACGTTACGGAAAAATCAAGAGTAGGCTTCTAAGTGCCTGCACTTAAGAGTAGTGCAGAGCTACAGAAGGCACGGTAAGAGCGAACTCAGCAAATTTACCCAGGGAGATGAGGGCGAGAGCGACGAAGACCTTCATGGTTGGTTTGTTGAGGCGACCTCCTGTCGGTGTGTGTAACTGCTGCCGCTCGGGAAAGGTGGTTTGTCAAGAGCGCGCCGGCGCCTTTTGTACCCCCTGCTCTGGGGCTGGCGGCAATACGGATGCCCGTTGGTCAAGCATCGGACGCCGGGCGGAGCATCGCAGGGCATTGTTCTCTTGAACAATCCTACGCAAAAAAGCACTGCTAGAAAAGAAGTCTCGAAAAAACAAATTGAGAAACCTATTGATTTCGGCTTTGCTCGTCTCGAGTCGACCAGGTGGTAACTGCATATGAAATTGTTTGCTGCCTGCTCTGCTCTTTGCAGGCATTGTGAAGCGGTCATGATTCCCCTATTGAACAATGTCGGAATAGTAGAAAGAAAGACAAAAGGGAAAATAAATTTTGCATTTTTTGGTGCTCTTCTTTGCTTGACTCTTTGGCGTGATAAGAAGAAACCTTGCACGGAAACATGTAGGTAAGAATATTGTTCACATATTTGGTCCAACCAACGCAGGCATAGTTTGAAACAAAAATAACAATATGTCGCACATTGAAAATCGCGAAGGAAAAAAAAACAAGAAATTCTTGCGCGAAAGCACGCAATATTATACACTGAGGTAAAAATGACCTCAGTAGCTTTTCTTGTCTCTCTGCATGTTCTTTGCGATGCCAAGCAAAATAACTCAGTGACGGGGTCGCGTACGCAAGTGAGGCTACATAGACAATAAGGCTTTTGTAAATACAGTCTGAGATTGAAACGTCACCTACCCTAATATACCACTAGCCTTGTGTTTGAGGAAGTTATGGGTGAATAAATTCTGGTCGTGGCTGGCTGTGGACCGAAATATCATTATTCATAGCGTTAGAACCTTAGAAAAATTTCCTCTGTTGCCTCGTGTCAATGTGCCTTGCTCACAGAGACCTTCGTAGCAAACGCGGAGTTTTGAATGGGAAATGACAGAACGATTGAGGCTGTCTCTGCTTCGCGTTTACGACGACCGGCATCTATGCGAGATAAGTGGTTGGGGATATGCGAAGTGTGACCTAAGAGGCCGCATATCCTCTTTGTTTAATACGTTTCGTACTGTAGTGCTAAAAGGGAAGGTATGTTGCGAAAATGACTTTCCGAAGCGCAGAGCAACCTGTTTAAATGAAGCTGAATATTTTGACTGTCACCGGTTTCTCCACTGACCCTTTTGGAAAATAGGAAAATGGAAATATAGACTGCCGGAAGATACTGCCAATCGCTGGAGCTTTCAGTCTCATAACTGGTCAGAGTCTGTACAGATCCGCAGTGCGAGGGCGTAGCCAGAAATGTTTTTCGGGGTCAAGGGGGTGGAGAAGCAGGTTCGGCCACTCTTTGTGTACGTTCGTGCGTGCATGTTGCATGTGCACACTTGCAGATGCAAAATTGAAAAATCTAAAATTCCACACCTCCTTTCCCCATGGATATGCATGGAAAGGGCTGGGTACTATAACGTTTTGATCTGCAAATAAGAATATAAATACGCAGAACTAGTGGTTACTTAAATACCACAACCATTTTCAGCAAGATCTGTTTGTGGGACAACTCAAAGAAAAATGGTTTTGAGCAGATTGTATTTTTTTAACTCTATAATAAAGGTATACACTGCCGAAGCGCGTTAATTTGTTCCATTTCTTTCAAAGGTTGTGTTGAAACTTTTTTTCCTCATATAGTGGTCTGCCCTGTGTTATGCTTGAAGGTTGCACTGGAAATGACAGGTGGTAAAAATATGATAGGCAGAATTCAGCCACAGTAAACATAGTACAGCGAAAACAAAATCTTTATGTGAACAAACGTAGGTGGTTTGAAACCACATATATACCTCCTTGCAAAACATCAATAAAAACCAGTGGCCTTGGCATCACAATACCATCCCAAGCTTGACTTTAAAATAACCCGTCTGCCACCTTGTGGAATTCGTGTAACGGATTCGCAAGTCAAGGAGCTGCTGCTCACTGCAACATGGCTAATTTATTATGTTTCACATAAATTGAATTGTTAAGTGCAATATTACAGATATGCTAATTTATTCTTGATAGCTCATGTTCTGAGATAAGTGCAATAAATAGGAGATAAGTGCACTAAATAGGAAACAAATACTTAAAATAGAAGAAAAACCAAAAACCTTGAAGTTCATTAGCCTTAGATGATTGAATTTCCTTTAGCAGATTCTTGGCAAAAACTAGTGATAGGCCAACTTGTTGCAGTATTATAGAATCTGCTGGCAAAACGTTCTCTTTGGTTGTCCCTGATTGTCCAGTGGAAAGCTTCACACATAGGTAATGCTGGGAGGCTCGCCTCTCTACTTCAACTTGTGCCCCCATCGCGAAAGGTGGCTGCCTAAGAATTTCATGATTCTCACACAGCGCTTCTATGCTGATCTACCAACACCCGCTAAACCAGCGCCCAAACCAGCGTGTCTAATCGAATCATTTCCTCCTCGTGGCCGTGGCTCAGCTCGCTTTACCTGAGAATTATGACTGTGTTGGGGCACGAACACTCATGTCAACAAGGACGTCAGTACATCCCTTTGTGTAGAAATGGCGGCTCTTGTGAGACGCTGGAACACCTTATGGTAGAGTTGCATTTCTGGAGGTTCACTGGAAGGTGACAAGTGTATCATTCAGACTTCGTTGGCACTATCAGATGAAGAAGTATTATAGCTTGCGGCGGGTCTGATGATTGATTGATATGTGGGGTTTAACGTCCCAAAACCACCATATGATTATGAGAGGTGCAATAGTGGAGGGCTCTGGAAATTTCGACCACCTTGGGTTCTTGAACGAGCACCGAAGTTTGAGCACACGGGCCTACAGCAATATTGTCTCCATCTAAAATGCAGCTGCTACAGCTGGAATTCGATCCCGCGACCTTCGGGTCAGCAGCCGAGTACCTTAGCCACTAAACCACCATGATGGGGCATCCGGCGGGTCTGTGTCTATTCAGGCACGTAGGCTTTTGTTGCTTCTTTACTTACCTTGTGCATGCACGATGGTTTTTCTTTCTTGGTGCCTTTTATTCCCCTTGTTTTCGGAATAAAATTTAATTTGCGAGTCGGCGCTGTAGTCTGTCGTTCCTTTTCTCCTTCTCCTCGTTTCTGTCGCACTTTTTTTGCTTACAAGATTTGTCGGTAGCAGTAGTCGTTCGGCAGACGCGATTGTTTGTTACGGAATGTAGACTTATTAAATTTAGGCGTGTGACCCTTGACGGTTACCATTGTCCGAGACGAGATGGCGTGCTGGTCGGCGCGGTGCAGCCTGTCAAGCTTTGCCCAATTTCATGAACGAAATGAAATGGACCACCTGTTTATAGATGTTATCCGCGTTTTTACCTATTGCTTAAAAAGCCTTCGTTATTTCTTAGTTTCGTTTTTTTCCCGTTACGGGAAAAAAACTGGCTCTTCATATCTCTTTTGGTTGCTTGAGTGTTATTGTGTAATAATAATAATAATAATAATAATAATAATAATAATAATAATAATAATAATAATAATAATAATAATAATAATAATAATAATAATAATAATAATAATAATAATAATAATACTATATTATCTGTGATAATAACACTCATATATTATTATTACTATTATTATTATTATTATTATTATTATTATTATTATTATTATTATTATTATTATTATTATTATTATTATTCAGAGCTACAGAGTGTAAACGTATTGCCGCGCGCTTGATCTGCCAGCGCAAAAGAGGCAGACGAAGTGGCAGTTCCCCTCGTGCCATTGTTCTGTTTTTGGCTGCGCTGAGCCGACCGCTCTTCGGACTTTTGTGAGGACGCCTTAAAAACGTCTCCTGTCTCTTTAACGTGACATTTTAATGGTGGAGGTGCTGGGTAACCTCACCTATGCAACAGACTCCTTCTAGCAGCCGGAACGTGACCCAAAACCCAGAGCTTACGCCGGTACACCGTTTCAGTCGGAGGATTCGAGGACTGTCCCCCGAGTTTGTGCCTCACAGTACAAGTACGTCGACTGGTATGGAGAATACTGTTGCTGTCACCGCTTCCCCTACCGCTGGAGCCGCCGCTGCTCCAACCGCTGCACCCGCAGCTGCACCCACTCATTACACGCTACAAAAACCACGTGTTCCGAGTCCCTTTCGTGGTGGCCTCTATGAAGATGTGGAAGATTGGCTGGCTGAGTACGAGTACGTAGCGGATTTCAACGGGTGGGACGAAGTAGCGAAGCTCAAGAATGTGTACTTTAGTCTTCTGGATGGTGCTCGCACATGGTTCCAGAACCGCAAGGGCCTCCTAACGTCGTGGCATGAGTTCTGTCACAGGCTCCGCGAAACGTACTCGAGTCTCGATCGTCGAGAGCGCGCTGAAAGGGCCCTCCAGTCCCGCATGCAGATGCCTAATGAAGGTGTGGCTACATACGTGGAGGATATGGTTCATCTGTTCACTCGCGCCGATCCAACCATGCCGGAAGACAAGAAGCTGCGACATTTGATGCGAGGTGTGAAAGAGCAGCTCTTCGCTGGACTCATTCGTAGTCCGCCTAGAACGGTCGCGGAGTTCCTCACTGAAGCCGTCGCCATGGAAAAGGCGCTGCAGCAGCGGAACCAGTACGATCGGCAAGTGAATGCTACCTATACCACCGGGCTAGGCTCGTTCCCGACCGACGTGGGAGCGCTTCGCGAGCTGATACGTTCGGTTGTTCGCGACGAGCTACAACAGCTGCAACAGCTGAACCAGGCGCAGCAGCAGCCTTCCACGAATTGCATCGCCACCATCATACGTGACGAAGTTCAGCATGCGCTCGGCACACCTCGCCGCGAGACACCAACGCAGGTTGCTGCACCACTTCAGGCGTTCGCAACTTCAAGTGAACCTCTAGGGGTGACCTACGCAGACGTATTGAGACGCACCGTTCCGTCGTCCACGACACCATCCCCAGTGAGTGGTTTCCAGCGCACCACTTATACCGACACGTTCGAACACAACGCACCTGCACCAGTCCCACTACCAGCCGCAACCCCGTACGCCACACTGCAGTCCGCACAGGTGGTCCCTTATTTTGCAGACACTCGACC